CTACAACTCTTAGAGTCCAGAATGCTTCCCTACTCTGCTATTGCCCAGTGAGTATGGGGCCAGAAAAATATTTTGCTATTACTGCAAAGGTCCAACAAGTCTCAATTGCTATATCCTGATTTCATAGTAGCATATATCAAAGTTCAGCAAATTATAAAGGTCGTACTTCCACGTGTACCAAACTCCACTGGAATAAAAATACAGATAAGAATTGAACTATAGTTCTATGGGAAATAATTAATAAGACATATCAGCCTTAGATCACTCTCCTTTGCTTTATTTTTTCCTTCTTTTCTGTTAAAATAAAGGGCTAATGTATTCAACATGAAATTTTTCAGAAATATCAATGGCTTATAAAGAAGATTTATAACTTATTTTCACTTTCTGAACTAATTCACAAACCAAACTTTATAAAAATTGACTCCAAACTTGCATATATTGTTGTTGGCAGTATAAAACGCTATAATTGCTTTGAAAAACTGTTTGGCAGTTTCTTATAAAGTATAAAAATACATTTACTTAATGACTCAACAATTTGACTAGATATTTCAAGAGAGAATAAATCACAAGTCTACCCAAAGACTTGTATGGAAATGTTCATAGCAATTTTATTCATAATAGTCAAAACTGAAAACAACCAAATGCCCATAAACTTGTACATTCCTAACTAAATTGTGGTATATGCAAACAACTGGACACTACTCAGCAATAAAAAGAAACTAACCCCGATATATAGAACAATACATGGTGTATATGAATCTTGAAAACATCCTGAGTGAGATAAACCAGACTAAAGTGGACACACTGTATGATTCCACCCATATAATGTTCTGGAATAGGCAGAACTAACATCTGGTAATAGAAAACAGATCAGTGGTTGCCTGGGGCTGAGAACAAAGGAAGGTTAATGGGGGAAAGCCCCCAAAGACATGTTATGGGGCAATGGAAATGTTCACAATCTTGTTTGGGGCACTGTTTGAAAGGTGTAAATATTTGTTAAAACTCATCTAATTGTACCCTAAAAATGAGATTTTATTGTATGTGAATTATACATCAATAAAGTTAATTTAAAATAAGAAAAAAAGGCAAGCCTCTCTCAAACAAAAGTAAAACTCTTTATAGCCAAAAGTAAAAAAAAAAACCAATATAATATAGAAGAATTAAAAAAAACAAACTGCTCTTCAGTGGAATGTGTTAAATTTGTGTCTTTATGTATATATAGTATTGTGTAAATTTGAAGTGACATTGATTACACATACCTTTTTATGCATTTAGCAAAGTGACAGGTATGGATGTGATCATGCTGAGTTTTCAAATGTAGTAAGATACCACCATGGTGTTATTCAAAACAGTTTGCCCTGGCTCGGCGCCTGTAGCTCAATGGCTAGAGTGCCAGCTCCATACACTGGAGCTGGAGGGTTCTAACCCACCCCGGAACTGTCAAACAATAATGACAACTACAACCAAAAAATAGCTGGGTATTGTGGCAGGCTCCTGTAGTCCCAGCTACTTGGGAAGCTGAAACAAGAGAATCACTTAAGCCCAAGAGTTTGAGGTTGCCGTAAGCTGTGACGCCACAACACTGCCAAGGGCAACAAAAACGGTTTGCCTTCTGATTTGGTAATATACCCAAATGAACATTGATTATCAAAGAAACTTAATGCCAATTTCACATATTGTTACAGTAACTATTTTTTTTGCAAAGACGTTGTTTAATTGCTGAGAGATAAGTGACTTGTGTGATGTTTTCCTATTCACACTGTGTGGTAGGAAGCTTATGGTCTAATGTATGGCACACTTCTAATGAAAATATAAGACTATGTTTCTTGGAGAATATTCTCATCCTTGGCTTCATACTTTTTGCTCCTATCCTTCTTTTCCCTTCCTCCTTTACTTAATCAGTTCTTCAGCTCCTTTTGTCATTTTTTTCAAGAACACATTATATATGTATAAGTAACAGGTCTAAATAAAGTGATGGAGATGATGCATATGTAACATTACTTTGAACCTCTATGAGTTTTGGTAGAGTTTTTTTTTTTTTTTTTTTTTTTGCTAAATAATAATTGCCAATAAAACTTCTCTTCTCCAAGATTTGTTGTTTTCTTTTTAAGAAGAGGTAAGTGGTCACATTAAGGGGGTTCCACAGAGCCAGAGAGCTTCAATGGTTGACAAACTGGTATAATTCAGTTGTCACTGTTGGCCCAAGTTTCCTAAATATTTACAAAGGATACCAAGGTCTTCTGATTGAGGCAATGATAAGCTGATAGTAATGAACTTGAGAATGGTCTCCTTTTGTTGGTGACAGGGAAAAAAAGAGGGAAGTTAAACTTCAAGATGGGAAAGGTAAGAAAAAAAACAAGCCTGACTCTGACAATTGAACAATGAACTCTGAACTGTCTATAAAGAACTAAGAAAAAGAAATCCAAAAGTTGGGATGGTTTATTCTCCCCCAAAACTGCACATGTTACCCCAGCCAGAAAATGGCTAACTGGCACTGTTATTATACAATAAATCAGAAGGTCAGAGCTAGCCATATATAATATATTGAAAACCAATTAGTTCTGCAATGCCCTTGGTCTCCCTTTCCTGCTGTTTTCTCTTTTTTAAGTAAATTGCTCTTTCATTTCTCTATTCCTTTTTCTGCTACTCAACTTTTAAGATACCAAATAATTTCTTGCTCTCTCTGTTGACCCCATTCAAACCCTGCTCAGATAAAGGAAGTGATTGATGAGCCTTAAAGTGGTTCTTGACGCAGAGGGTACTTGTATTTTTCAGAGGTTGTACTACAGCCTCAACATTTTATTGTCCATTCTCCACTCCATGACATCCTGTCAATCAAGTCATTTTTTTTTGCCTTCACTTCACCATGAATATGTGACCCAAGCTGGACCAACACTCCCTGAACACAATGCATGTGGGCACATGACCCAAGCAAGATGTGCCAGTTCTGCTCCTGTTTGTCCTCAGGCCCTTTCCTTTCCCTTCCCATGTTGTTCTCTCTATCACTGAGCCCCAAGGGCTCTTGGCTCAGCTGGCTTCTGACTGGCCACAGCCAAGGGAGACTGATGGGAAGCTGCAGGGAAGGAGGAAGGAGGGGCAAGCTTCTTTTCCACTCTCTATTTCTGGCTAAGGCAGGCTGCCTCCCTCTGCCTGCAGCTCCCACCTAGACCTTGGTTCCAGAATTCTTCCTACTTGATGTCTCTGCCCTAAGAGAGGTTTCAACTTTCTCCTTTTGCTGATCTCTAGGTTTTTGCTGCATTCTCCATCTTGTCTCTGAGCTTTTAAAGCACCATAAAACCAACTGCTTGCTTTAAATTTCCTCTATCTTATGTACTTGATGTAATTTCTGTTTTCCTGCAGGAACAATAACTAGAATTAGAGTCAATCTATGAGATTTGATTTGTGGATACTAACAAAAAGTGATCCCTTCCTATTAGATCATAAGGCTAAAAGACTAGAGATGCCAGTCTCCAATTTTCAGCTGCCAAAACCCAGTTTATGAATGACATCAAACATAGAAGCACACAGAGCCAGGAAATAGAGAAAAAGCTTCCTGACACATTCTCAGAACTCCTTGCTCTAACTAGACCTGAAGTTAGCATTATCGTATATTTTCTTCTCCAAACCAGGACAGTAGAAAGTAAAAGGGCTGCCAGTAAAATTTACATAAGGATAGCAGACACAAATTAGGACTGGTCCAAATAAACCAGAACATACAGCGCCCTACCTCAACGCAACTTGGTTTTGTACCAGTTAATTGAGACACTGTTTTCTACCACCAACTACCATACTAAAATATTTCTGGAGCTGACCAGAGCAAAAGGTTTAAAGAAATTATTTCCTGGCTCAGCGCCTATAGTACAGTGGTTACGGCACTGGCCACGTGCACCAAGGCTGTTGGGTTTGAACCCAGTCCAGGCCAGCTAAACGACAATGACAACCACAACAACAACAACAAAAATATCCAAGCATTGTGGTGGGCACCTGTAGTCCTAGCTACTTGGGAGGCTGAGGCAAGAGAATCGCTTAAACCTAAGAGTTTGAGGTTGCTGTGAGGTGTGATATGGCACTCTGTCTAGAGTAACATAGTGAGACTCTGATTCAAAAAGAAACTATTTCCTAGTGGTAGGATTTCAAGGTAGATAGTAGCACATCCATGTCTGAAAATCCCTGTATCAGTCTCCACAATTGCATGTGGAGCGTTCATGTTTACGAAACAACTATTTCAGGAACATTATACAGAATTTTAGTTGCTATCCCCCCAGAATGCTAGAAAAAAGTGCAAAGAAATCCACTGTAATCACCAAGAGAAACACACGCTCTTACCATCAGGCTAAATATAGGGCTTTTTGATGATTTGTTGTCGTTGTTGTTTGTTTTTAAGGACCTAATAAGGAAGGAGTGGGTTTTTTTTAACATTTAAAGCAGCCCTTACTCAGGTTTATTTTCATCTGCATACTAATTTTGTGTCAACCACATCTTGTAATTTTCCCTGTGTCCAGCCTCTATTGTAGGTTCAGCACTATGGCACCACTAAGAACTGCTTTTTTTCTTGATTCTCTTCCCTTGACATAGACTGTTCTGTAAGGCCTCACACTATAGATTATGTAGTCTCTGGTTGACTTGCCTCCGAATCCAACAGCCATTTACAACCTTTCTATAAAAACACATCCTTTCAGGAGTGGTAGGAAGGGTGTGCCAAGCCCACATGACATTGGTTAACCTCTTAGTTCATAGCAGCTGCCTCACTGAGGCAGAACAGAAAGCAGCAGTTGAAAGACTTTCAATCTCCTAAATCCAGTGGAATGCTCCCCACATGGATGAAGGTTATTATTGGGAAGACAGAATTTAGGTGTCTAAAATTCCATGAGCACAGTTATATCTTTTAAATGCCATAAAAAATGATTGTGACAAACTTCATTTTTTTGTGTGTCCTGGTTCGCTTCATCAATAAAAAAGCAGATACAAGAACTGGAAAGAAATATCCATTTAATAGCCAATAACATGTCTTGTGCCCATTTCTTACAGAGCAAATTACTCTGATATCAAAACATGCTTTAAAAATAAGAAAAAAACAGAAATAAAATGCCTTTCCAGAGGTTAAGCTGGTACCAAATTCTTCACTGGAAATAAAAACACAAGCACATACAAACTTTAAAACATTCAGAGATCAAAAGTAGGATACCTACAAGCAAATCCCTACACACTGTCCATTGGGAGTCATTTTGGTCTAGAAGGTAAATTTTCCTGCTCATGTCTTCTTGGGATTGTGAAAGAATTGCTATGGGTTCTACATCTTTGTCAAAGTGCATCATAGACTTAACGATATGAGAAACAATGGTAATCTTGAAGGCTCTGTGCAATTTTCCACCTCAGTCAAGTAAGAATCTATTGAATAATACAAAAACTACAAAGTTTCTTATCCCTAATGATATGAACTATAGGTTTTACCTAATTCTTATCCCTGAGCCAAATGTATTGAGGAGGACCTTCTGGGAAGTCTAGGGAATGAAGGAGGGAAACAGATACGATTCAACATGTGTTTAATAAAAAGACCAGAAAAGTTTCACAGCCTAGATCCCTGAATTTTCTTGGTAACTGTAAGTAAGTATCTCTTCCTTAGTAGTTGGCTCCAGCAGCCTAAAGCTTTCTTGCAGGGCTGGGAAGGACTGGAGCATGTTGTACATTCTTACACGCAGCCTCAGCCGAGTCACTGAAGACATTGATGTCATTCTCCCTGCAGATGTGGACAGTGACTTCAACACTTCAGAAGCTCTACTCTGGAAGATTTTTGTTCTAACAGTGTAGAGTAAAAAAATTAGAAATCCCTGCAGACAGAATAAAAGTTTAACATTAGGTAAGTGCTGAGATACAATACTACACATCAAGGGAGAGATGATATTAACCCATCTTTCTTATTGTACACAGCATGTCCCCAGCCTGTTTGCCAGTCAGCAGTCACCATGCACTTTAATCTAAGAGAGTAAGCCACAGTGCTTCCAATAAACAAGGCACTACACGCGACAGAACAGAAGCACATCTAGAAGACAAATTCAGGTCCAGGCTTGCCACTTACACACTGACTATAAAACTTTGCTCATGTCCTAATCTCTATAATCTTTAATTGCCTGAAGGAGGCATATTAACTATGGAACACTTAATTCTTCTTCCAGTTCTAATGTTCTGTGATCCTACATTTCTTGGAGTTCTTGTAACACAACTAGAAAGTTGGTGCACTTAAGAACCAAGAGCAAAAAAAAAATTTTAAAGCCCTCTATTTGCTATTTTTGTGTACTTTACATATGAAGACCAAATATGCATGAGGAATTGAGCCATGAAAGGCTGAGTACTATATTTCTTCATGCTTTAAATAAAAACTGTCATTCACTGAAGTCAGATTGCTATTAGATACTTGCTTTTCATTTAATCTTCATTCTTTCATCCTTCTCATTTAATCCTCACATCCACGCTATTCAATAAACTTTACCATTCCCATGTTGCAGATAAGGAAACTAAGGTTCAGATAAGTTAACTAACTTGCCCCAAATTACTCAACCAATAATCATTAGAGTTTGGAATTGAACTCTTAAGTCCTTGGTTCCAAAACCCCTCTTTTATAATATACAATGCTGTCTATTGCTTACGACTGTAATAAAGGGATACTGCAAAGTGTATCACAGCTTCTAAAATACCTCCGTTAATTAATCATAAATATTCTTTGTGTAAATAACAGATTAACTAGAATCTGTAGCTAAGTTTATAATATTGTACCAATGTCAGTTCCTTAATTTTGACAACGTACTGTGGTTATATAAGATATTAACATCGGGGAAAGCTAGACATAAAATATGTGAGAACTGTACTATTTTTCCAAATTTTTAAATTAAATAATTTCAAAGTTTCTTTTCTTCTGCAAAATCTGGGTTTGGTTTGCTTTCGTTTTGCTAGTTCCTTGAGGTGTGATGTTAGGTTGTTAATTTTGATCTACTTTTTGATATAGGCATTTGACTCTATAAAGTTCCCTCTTCATTTACTGTGTCTTATGGATTTGGGGATGTTCTGTTTTCACTTTCATTTGTTTCAAAAATTTTTAAATTTCCATCTTTATTCTTCTGTGTTGACCTAGTGATCAATTAGGCACATGTTATTTAATTTCTATATATTTTTTGTAGTTTCAGAAGTTCCTTCCTTTTCATATTGATTGCTAGCTGTATTCCACTGTGGTCTCAAAAGATACTTGATATTAGTGTGGTTTTTAATATTTTGTTAAGACTTGGTTTGTGGCCTAAAATGTAGTCTACTTTGGAAAATGTTCCATGTGCTGAGTGAAAACATATATTTTGTAGCTTTGGGTAGAATGTTCTGCAAATGTCCATTAAATTCATTTGGTCTAAATCACTTAAAGTCAAATTTAAGTTCAATCTCTTTCCAGTGACTGGATGTTTTTCTCTTGCTAATTTAAAATTTCTCATTTTCACTTTGACTTTATTCATTCTGATTATGTAATGCCATGGTGAAGTCATTTTGCAATATATTGGTCTGAGGATACTTGGTCCTCCTATATCTGAATGTCTAGCTCTCTTGCTAGTCCTAGGGAATTTTCAATGATTATTTCCTTAAGTGGGTTTTCTAAACTTTTGGATCTCTCTTCTCCCTGAGGAATATCAATAATTCATAAGTTCAGTCACTTTATGGAGTCCCAGACATCTTGAAGGCTTGGTTCAGTCTACTTTATTCTTTTTTCCTATTTTTTTCTGATTGGGTCATTTCAAGAGACCTGTCTTCAAGTCTTCAAGTTCTGAGGTTCTTTCTTCTGCTTGGTCTAGTTTATCTTGAGTATTTTAAATGTGATTTTTATTTCATTCAGTGAATTTTTCAGCTCCAGAATCTGTTTGTTTTTTATTCTTTTAATAATATCTATCTCTTTGATGAATCTGTTCATATCCTGAATTGATTTTTTTATTTCTTTGTATTGGTTTTAAGATTTCTCTTCCATCTCATGAGCTTTTTTAGGAGTAATATTTGGAATTATTTATGTGGCATTATGAGAAATTCTTTTTTCTTATAATTCATTACTAGACAATTATTGTAGTCCTTTGGTGGTATCATATTTTCTTCCTTTTTCATGTTTCCTGTGTCCTTCTGTTGCTATCTACATGTCTGATGTAGCAGTCATCTGGTTTAATTTTCTTAACTTGTTCAAAGGAAAGAATATTTCTCTGGAGGTATATCTATATTGTTGGTTGAATAGGACACTTTGATGTCCATTTTGGGTGCTTATAGTGGTGTGTGACTGATGTATGGTTTTTTAGACAATACACAAGAATACAGGTATCTGTTATTTCCTTAGTCTTTTAGAGAACAGTTATTAGTTGAAACTGTTGTAAAGTTTTTCTGGGGACTTGACCACCCATTGAACTAGTGTTTGGGCCCTAGAAATGGGAGTACTAGGCTGAGTATGCCTGATTTTAGACCTCAGAGCAGCTTATGGTGGTAGTGGTGTTAGTGTGTCCTGGGGGCCAGTTCTTAAGTCTTCAGGTATCTTACTTAGAAGCTAGTAGCTGTAGCAAATGGCTGAGTGTGTGGGCAGGTTATCAGGCCCCTGAGTAGGTGGTGTGATGTGGAGGCAAAAGTAGCAGAGTCACCACTAGGATCTAAGTGGCCCTCCTCAGAGCCACACAGTGGCTACAGATGTCTCTGTTACTCCCCAATATTTAGGCTTTAATAATGGCACCAGACTCAAGCTTCTCTAGGCGCATATGCCTGTGGGATACCTTGTGAGCTCCCTTTGTGGAATAATGTCTCTGTGCATTCTCCAATCTGCTCTCTATGGTAGGCAAGACCTGTATGGGTTAAGATGTTCTCTTATGTCAAGATCAGAAAAGCTCATCTCAGTAAGTGGATCCTTGGGGGCTTCCCTCTTACTATTTCTCCACATTCACGAGCTCTTCCACATCTGAATCAGTTCCCAGTTGAGCAAATTGCCCTCACCTCTTCCTTGCCCACTTTAAGTGCTTCCCATCATTTCTCTGGTAAATTCTAGTTTCAACTCCTGGATTATCTGTTCAAAATGTGAGAATCTTTTTACTATTTTGGTTCCTCTCTGTGGAAGAGGCATATAGGCACATACTACCTGTGTCTGGTCAGCCATCTTGATCCCTTCTCTTCCTCATTATATTTTAAAGTTTTGGCATTCCTCATACACAATACATATAACAAAGTTTAAAAGCCCCAAACTCTTTGAAGTCAAACATGTAAACTAAACATGTTAGTTTACCTTTATCACTATTTTTATGATGATAACAATCAGAAAGTGACCATATTCTTAGTCTAAATGTTTGGCTTTGTAAATTGACTTTCAAATGAAAAAATACATATATAAAACTTCTTTTCAGGTTGTAAGACAAAGTGCAAATGGAAATTTTTAAAAGGTTTATGGTTACATACAATCTTGAGATAAGACTCAAGGAATAAAAACATCTTCAGTCCTATGTAAAATTATGCCATAAAAACAACTTCATGAAAACTTGCTACTACATTTATTAACCCTCTGACATATAACAAGATATGAATAGGGCAGACTCTAAGAAGCCCAGCCAAAGCTAAGCAGACTAAACAGAGATGACAGTTGTCCACTAAAGGGAGACAGAGTTTTCAGTTGTAGTACAGCTAAGTTAATTATCTGCTAAGTCCACTTTTGGTGAGATTATAACACAATGCAGTTGCTACACTGTATTTATAATGTCCAGGAAATAATCAAAAATTACTACACATAATGAATACATGACTTATACTTTAGGAAATAAGATAATCAATAGAAATTGAATAAAACAATCCATATATTAGATATACAGACAAAGATTTAAAATGTCATTATAACATGCTTAAGAATGTGAAGGAAAATGTAATGAATAAAAAATTTAGAAATCTCAGCAGTATTAAAACACATAAAAAATAACAAGATAATTCTTAAACTAAAAATGTATAATATCTGAAATAAAAATCATTAGATACACTTTCCAACATATTGGAGATAATTGAAAAAAAGTTAAATGACCTTGAAATAGATAATCTAGAATGATCTAATATAATAAATAGCAAGAAGAATAAGGAAAATGAGTAGAACCCAAGAACATAGAGAATAATATTAAATGGCCTAACATACATGTAATTGGATTCCCAGAAGGAAAGAAGAAAGAGAATTGTAGCAGAAAAACTATTTGAAAAAATAATGGTGGAAAATAATGATCAGATTTGATGAATGACATTAATTAACATATTCTAGAAGTTTAGCAATCTAAAGCAGAATAAATGTGAAGAAAAATAAACCTAAATACATCATAGTTAAATTACTAAACATCAAAGATAATGAGCAAATTCTGAAAGCAACCAGAGAACACACATTACACACAATAGAACAATACTAAAAATACTAAGAATCTCTCATTAGAAAATGGAGCCAGTTGGTGAAATTAGTTCATGATGCTAACCGGAAGCAAAAAACATCTCTGTCAATCCAAAATTCTATATTCAGTGAAAATATTCTTCAGGAATGAAAACAAAATAAAGATAATTTTAGATAAACTAAAACAGAGAATATAATATAAAACATTCTAAGGGAATATTTCTGTGCTTATGGTAAACTATACCAGACAGAAATTAAGATCTTCAGAAAGTAATGAATACTGGAAATAATAGATTTTTGGCTAAATATAAGCACTCTTTTCCCTTAATTTCTTTAAAATCATAGATCTGTTTAAAGCAAAAATAATAACATTGCATTGTAGGAGTTACAATGTATGCAGACATAATACATAAGAAAACTATAACATAAGAGAAAAGAAGATGGAAAGTAGACTTATGTTGTTATAGATTCTTACATTTTACTGTAAGTGGTAAAATATTAGCTCTATGTTGACTATGAAAAGTTAAGTTTGTATAATGTATTCCTAATTAACTCCCCAAATGATAAGAGGTGTGGCTTAAAAACCGGTATATGAATTTAGATAAAATCCTCATAATATTAAATTTACTTGAAAGTAGGAAAAAAGAAGGAACAGAGGAATAGAAAATAGAATGGCCACTGAAAACAAATAGTAAAATAGTAGGCACAAATTAACCCATGTCAATAAATACTTCAGATCTAAATGAACTAAACCCTCTGATTAAAAGATGAAGATTGTAAGAATGGATAAAAAGGGAAGACTCAGGTATTTGCTATCTACATGATATATACTTTTTTTTTTTGGAGACAAAGTCTCACTTTATCACCTTCAATAGAGTGCTATAGCATCATAGCTTCCAGCAACCTTAAATTCTTGGACTCAAGTGATCCTTTTGCCTCAGTTTTTTCATTTTTAGTAGAGACAGGGTCTCACTTTTGCTCAGGCTGGTCTCAAACTCCTGAGCTCATGTGATCTGCCCATCTCTGCCTCTCAGAGTGCTAGGATTATATGTGTGATCCACTGTGCTCAGCCATGGTACATACTTTAAACACGAGGGCAGAAAAAAATGGATGAAAAAAATACATATCATGCACCAATATAAATGAGAAGAATGAATATCAGATAAAGTAGACTTTCTGACAAAAAGTATTATTGAAGGTAAATATGCCTTGTTTACAATCTAAATGACAAAAAGCATCAATTCATTCAGAAGACCTAACAGTCGTAAATGTATATGCACCTAATAGCAGAACCTCAAAATACATGAAGAAAATATGATAGAATTAATGAAAGAAATACAAAAATTCATAATCAATTGGGAGAGATTTTAGACTTATTTTTCAGCAATTGAGAAAAACAGACAAAAATATTGGCAAGGACAGAATATCTGTAAAACACTAACAATCACCTGGCCCCGGCCAAAAACTGCAAAAAAACCCAAAAAACAAAAAAACAGTAACAATCACTTTGATTCTACTTACAGTTTTAGGACACTACATCCAATAGCTACAGAGTACATATTTTTTTCAAGGGTATATGTTTTGCTCACCAATATAGACCCAATGTTAGGCCATATAACTAGTTTCAGTAAAGTAAAAAGAATTGAAAGAAAAACATTCAGCCAAGTCCACAGAGATCCAACCAGTAACTTCAACACTGTCTAACTACACCATGAACTCCTTCCATGGGAGAAAAGGAAAATAGTTGTTCCCCCAAGCCAGCTTCTTGACAAAATCTCTCCTACTCAGAGAAGAGGGACTCATGTGGCTAAACCCTGCAATTAAATTCTATGAGCTCCAGCCCAGGAAAAAACATAGTAGATAAGTCAGAAAGAGCTTTCCTCCCTCTCCCCACCAAGTATATTAAGGATAGGATCTGTCTAGGCATAGTAATAGGTACCTGTAATACCAGCCACTCGGGAGGCGAAGGTGGAAGAATTTCTTGAGGCTAGAAATTTAAATTTGGTCTAGGCAACATAGTGAGACCCACTTCTTAAAAAAAAAAAAAAAGAGAGAGAGAGAGAGAGAGAGAGAGAGAGATTCCTAAAGGTATCTAAGCAATGACCTTCAGAGAGTTTTAAAGGGAGGCAACTTTGGTCTGGGATGATATCATCCCCTCTACTGTATAGTCTGCTACTTTCAGTGTAATCACATCATACCTGAGTAGTGTTGAAAATGCAGAATATATAGCCGAAGATTGTCCTGATGGTATCATTTTCAATTAGCATCAAGTATCCCAGAACCCAGGTAATTCCAAAAACAATTGCAATAGAAAATGTGCTAATAATCTTCTTTAGGGATGAAGTCTTTTTTGTGCTAGGTTAGAGAAAATAAGCAAGAAGATATGGCTCATTAGGTATTACCTATTAATATCCTTATTACTCTCCCATATAGAATGCATATTCATCTGACCATATTGCTTCCTTAGCAATAGTATGCCTCAGGTGGAAAAACAATGCTAGACTTTATGTCACTTAGGCAAAAATCCAATTTTTAAGCTTTATTTAAAAATATACTACCTACTGGGTGCAACGTACACTATTCAGGTGATGGGTACACTAAAAGCCCAGACTTCACCACTAAGCAATATATACATATAATACAGTTCCATTTGTACCCCCTAAATCTATTGAAATTTTAAAAAATTCATTGATGCCTCTTTAAAAGCTCAGGCAAAGCAATTCTCTTAATACTATTGCAGGCAAATTTCACTAAGAATCAACTTTTTCATTGGAATGGAATTTTAATTTAGTAAGATTACTCCAGACCAGCCAGCAAAGAATTTTTTTTTTTTATTTGGCTTTTGGGATCTTCCTATGCCTTGAGTTGATATGAGAGAGAAAGATTATTTAGATGCAGAGAGATCTTCCCTCTCATGAGAAGTCTTAACCCTGGAATCCGGTCTTGGTCATATGACTTATTTTGACTAGTGAGATATTAGCAAATGTTATAAGCAGAGACTTGAAAGTATTTCCTGGTTAAAGTTTGCCTTTTCTCACTGCTTTTTAGAATCCTCAGAGCATTATGTTAAGAACCCTGGGCTACCTCAATGGAGGATGAAAGACTGGGTAGAACAGAGATGAACTTTTCTAACTGACCAGTTACTAAGATCAACCAACCACCAACTGTCACATGAAAGTGAGTCATGCTACATCATTCATCATCATTATTTGAGTCAGCCCATATCAAACAACTACCCAACCAAGATTCAACTTCATGACAAATAGTAAATATTTGTCCTTCTAAGTGATTTTTAGGGTGATGTGTTATATAGCTAACTAATAAATGAAAAATCATCTGGTAAACAATTAAATTATACCACGCTTTTCCTCATAATTAGGCCAATTTAAGAATCATTGCCTATCCATCAAAATTTAGAAATACAAATTTGTTTGGTGTCTCTGGCTAAAAATGTTAGTGTTTTATATGAGGGAAACATACCTTAATTTGCAATTAACTAACAAGCCTTCGCCAAGGTCTTTCTCCATTGATACTAAAACACAATTTTTAATGTTTATCAGTGATAGTGTTTTCCCCACATTTCTCCTTAATATGAACTATCAATTCATATGAAAAAAAATGGTACTTACACTTGATCTATAGAGCACATATTTAAGATTAAATTCCCAGTAATGACGGTGGCTTCCACTCATCTGTTCATACCAAGTGGATCCCATTGTGAGATTACTATATGCTCATAGACATGCTAGCTTATAGTAAGTCTACTTAATATATGAGCAGAGTCTTGTAAAATTAAATATGAACTATATCCTCGTTAGCACTGTGTTCTAACCAATTTGTGCTAACACATGTGTTTTCATAGTTTATGTTCTTTAGTCTGTCCAAGTGAAAAGCTCTTGTAATATCAGGGATGACAATGAAATGCTTTGGGGGCGTTGGAAAGTTTATAGGAAAAGGAGAAGCAGTCTACATGGGAACTAGCACATCATGGAGACATGCCCCGTCTACAGGGAACGTGAGCTCAGGGTTGCCAGATGTTCCTTTTTTCCAGAGAAGATTCAATTTTTAAGTGAAATTTACAAACTGTTGTATGTTTTCCACTAATTAAAAAAATGTTAAACTCATTGTATAATTTAAGCAATACATGTAAAATATAGCCTATAGGTGATAGTTTATAAAATTAAAAATATAGGTGCCAACATCTCCTCACAACCCTCTCATTTCTTTAATTATTCAAATATGATTTCTTGAATATTTGGAGTCCAGGGGAAAATTTTTTCTTGAAGTCTTTGGATTGAGTTTTCAGTTGGTCTCATATAACGCAAAATGTGTTATGTAATATAGTATACCCACATCGTAATATAGTAATCCCTTGGTATCCAAAGGGATTAGTTCTGGGACCCCGTGGATATCAAAATCAGAGACTGCTCAAGTCCCTTGTATAAAATGACATGATATTTACATATAATCAGTACACATCCTCTCATACACCTTTTTTTTTTTTTTTTGCAATTTTTGGCTGGGGCCAGGTTTGAACCCACTACCTCTGGTATATGGGGCTGGCACCCTACTCCTTTGAGCCATAGGTGCTACCCCTTCTCCTATACTTTAAATCATGTCTGGATCACTTATCACACCTAATACATGTAAATGTTTTATAAATTGTTATGTTCTTTGTGTTATTTTTGTTGTCATTTTGTTATTTTTTCTGCATTTTTTTCTCCCAGGTATTTTTTTTTTTTTAATTTTGAATCTACAGATGTAGAAACCAGGTATGTGGAAGGCTACTTGTACTGATGTTAGAAAATGAAAATTTCTGACACTTTCTGAGTCAGAGTTTAAAAGAAAATTTCTCATGTAAAATATATACCCCTGTGATTGGCTCAGTTTGAAAATTCTTTCAGGAATGATAGATATATTATGGTCCTGTATTTTGTATTGAATGAATCTTACTTGGAAGCTTCCCAGCCATTGGGAATCTTACCTTGTCAGATTCTGATTATTCTTCCATAGCACTTTGACTGTGATTATAATAAATATAACAATGTTGCTGATGAGGATAATGGTTATAGGTATGATGAATGACCACAACGATGGACTTTTTATGAAGTTGCCGCTTTGGGGAATTGCCAGCCAGCAGCTGTGGAGAAAAATGAAATTATTTCAGTAAAGCCAGAAAGGTATACAAACTGATTCTATGTACTATTAACATTTTTGACATTAACTCCACTGAAAAATCTGTTCAAAACATATCCCATTGCATCTTATTCATTTCAGATGACTTCCAAATATTCAACCCACTAGAAAAGTAAAATGAATTGGTTTTGCTATATTCTCTATGAGCCACTTTGCAGAAAGAAAGTGAGATTTTGAGTCAGGCAGTCCTGGGTTTAAAGGTTACTCCCTGTCACTTCTGAAGTGTCTGACTTTAAGCAAGTGACTGTTTTCATTTTTGAATAAGGAGCATAGCCAGATGGTTCAAAACATGAAATTGGTCACACAGGAACAAGACCACCTGCTACATCTATCTCTATCCACTCATTTTCAGACGGTGCTTCTTGTATATCTCTGCAGATTTAAGCTATGTGTACACCAGCGAATGCATTTTTCCCTTGACTTTTAAACAAATGGTAATCTAGATATCTCAGGTTGCAACATATCTTGGAGATCATTCCATATTGGAATATTTTAAAAGTCCCCATTATTCTTTATAGGTATATATATTATTCCATTATTCTGACATATCATAATCTCTTCTGAGGGACATTAAATGTTAAATGTTGATGTTTATAAAGAGTTTGAGAAAGTTGTGTAACCTCATTGTACCTATTTTTTTGTTTGTTTCTTTTTAGTGGTGGTGGTTGTGATGGAGTTTTTTTTCCTCATTTGAGTCAGAATAATAGTAACTACCTCCTGTTGAAGAATTAATTTATTCATTTAATAAGTATGCCTGTGTGCCTGACACTGTTTTAGAGCTGACTCCAAAATCTGAGTGCATGGAAGGGAGAATTACCACTAACTGAGGTGAGGAAGACAAGGAGATGAGTGGATTTCAAAGGAGAGACATGGAGATGTCTGTTAGACGGCTGAGTGGCAGTGGCAGGTGACAGTTTGGGACTTCTCACAAAATAATGTGAGAAGCCCTGGCACATGTTTGTTGTTTAATTAATGCTTGTCTTCTTTGCCCTGGAGGTAAAACATCACTGTTGTACATGGACATGCCAAAGGATTTCTTAATTGTTTTGGATTGGATGTTGTATCACTTAAAGTACTAGAAATCATATTTCTAATCTGAGTGACCCAGGAGGAAACTGAGATGGTGTCCACGTCTATCATGAATTTAAAATGAAAAGCTACGCCTGACTCTAATAGATAGAACAGATCTGTCCCTAAATCAAAAGGTGGTGAGTAAGCAAAGTGTATTGTTGAGACTTCCACCCTCCTTTTACTTTGACCTGTGACTGGAGGACAAAGTCCCTGCTACCTCCCGCCTCCGAACCCCACACTCAGAGGAAACAGGAGGGCCTGAGCTGAGAAGTCGATGAAATCCTGCTGACAGCTACCTTCAAGTCTCTAGAAGCCTGTTTGGAGACTAAGCAAGTGGCCATGAAAAATTTTCAGTGAGAAAAATGCATCCATTTCTTATTCAGACAGCCTTGAGAAACAGAGTTGTAAAGGAAAGAAAAAGAACAGAGGGGGAAACATGAAATTTTAACTCCTTTGGATAAAAGGGGACTTGCAAATTATGGAACAATTAAACAAATACTTATCTATGTGACTCTTGAGCTATTTAAACTTTAGAAAACACAATTTCTGGTAATCACAGTTTGTACTCTGGATGAATGTGTGTGTGTGTGTGTGTAAACACAGGTACAAATGCCTGTAAGACTCTTCAGTTTGCTCACACCAATGGGGGGACCTGCCAGGTGTACACACTGGGGTGCCAATGTCCATCAGGGGTGCACCAGGAGGGGATTTCATTCCCTCTGTCTTTTGTACCACTTGGAGCTAGAAGTAGTCGATTTATTCTTAATAACATCCCCTCTTTTTGTTTTCTTGAGCTGTTAACTCAGATTCTGAGAAGTAGACTATTGAGGAGAGCAATAAACCCTATAGTGAGAAACAATCTTTATAGTTAAGATACAGGATTTCTAAAAACGAGATTGAAGAATCACATGGAGGAAGAGACCGAGCTGACAAGTAGCTATGGACCTGAGGTCTGGAGAGCATCATGGATAGACATGGATGAAGTATTTAACTCAACGGTGAGTTTGGCACGGAACGTCAGAAAAGATAGCTCCAGCATATCAACATACAAATGAAAAATCTTCCTCCCATCCTGATGCATTACAATTTCCCATGGTTGCCTCAACCCTTCAGGAAACTCTGAAACAGTCTATGTGGTGATAGTGCAGAGAATCAGGGGGCACAGCAGTAAAGAGTGTGGCCTGCCCTGCACTCAGCCCATACCTGGGTCCCCCAAAAGACAGCACTACATCAGGGAACTACACCAAAAGTTTCAGGTACAACCCACAGAGCTGGGAGCAGGATCTTGAGAAGCAGCTGCTGGGAGGATAACTCAGGAAAACCAGAAATAACACCTCCTCATTCCTAATAATCCTGAAGAACTGTGACATAATGGCATACACATAGGATGGAAGGTGAGGGGACAGGGGCCGAGAAGAAGGAGGTACTTATGTTACACATCATTTCCTCTCTTCCCAACTTCTCTTAGTGTCTTCTCCAACATCTCACCCTGTACTCAGGAAAGGAGCTGCTCTTGATTATTTATCACTCAGTGTGATAAATTTAAATCAGCTTTTTTCTTCTGAAAGTTTTCATAGGAGTGCATCCAGCCCTGTGCCTGGGTTAGGGTAAGAAATTAATAATGCAGATTAAAGTGAACTACCTCCCCCATGAGATATTTGCATCTTAGATATCTCTAGTAGGGGAGATTAAAATCTTAAAACTCAAAAAGATATTTCATAATATTATAATTAAACAGAGAGAGAATAGTGTCTGGGAGGGTGATATCAAGCCAGGCTGTAAGCCTCCTCACCTATAGTTGGGCATGGTCAGCCCAGGGAAAGATCTGACCCCACAGCTTCTCTTGGGCATCTTTGCCCATCTCTAAGAGTTTTGCTTTCATTTGAGTTGGCTTGGGACTTAATGTGAAATCCAGGAATGAAAATGGTTTGATTTATAAAATGAGAAGGGAAGATAAGCCAAAGGGCCATAGCAGTTTGACAGCAGAAATACAAAGGAAGAGTTAAGTCCCAGATCAGCTCAGCTTTCTTCTCCCTACATAAAAAGCAAACACCTTAGAATCAAGTACTTTGGTTATTACCATTTAGCTATTCACAATGGAGCCACCAGAAGAATTTATTTTGTGTGATAAATCATCACGAAATATTCATTACAATCACATCAACTTAGAATTGGTTCATACGAGCGAGATACAGGGATTGTGCTCTTCAAGTTATTAAATGTTTTCACACTTGCTTGACCCTGTACAGTAACTCCAGGACAGGTATTACTATTATTATTGTTCTCATTTTTCATTTTCCAGATGAGTAAATGAAGATACAAGGTTACCAAAGATCATATTATGTCATGATTTTTAGACTTAGTGAAAGAAGACAAATTTAACCCAAGAAAATCCAGAAGGTCTTACAAAAGGACTTATTACAATGTATAGGAAATTTCCATGATGTCACTACATTTAAATTATGATATGTCCTTTGAGAATTTGAAATACTCACCACTATGACAACTTTAAAATGAAATGCGTATGTACAGTGACACTTGGAGTCAGCATCACTGAATAGTTACAAAGAAATAAATATTTTTACAGATATAAACTCACATTGTTTCTTGCCGGTAGACTAACTCCCATGATACATCATTGCTATTCTGAGCGTAAACAGCTCCCACTGTTACAGCCACTATGATAGCTGGGACTCCTAATGTGATAAAGAAGAACAGAATTAATGACTTATTCAAGACTGGGATTAATTGTAAAAGACCATGAGTAAATTATACATCTGACCCTTTTCAGTTCCTTCCCCTATGGACAATACACTAAATGATCCCACAGAGGTGGGTTGACAGTAAACATAATTTTTCTCTAAGTGTTCTCTTTTCCCTCTTGGTGTTGGCTCTACACATCAATCTTAAACTATTTCTGATTTCTTTGTAAGTCTTATCACAATTGCCTCTTTTTCTTTTTCTTTTTTTCTTTTCTTTATTTTTCTTTTGAGACAGAGCTTTACTTTGTCATTCTTAGAAGAGTGCAGTGGTGTCCTAGCTCACAGTAACCTCAAACTCTTCTTGCCTCAGCCTCCGAAGTAGCTAGGACTATAGGCCCCTGCCACAATGCCTGGCTATTTTTAGAAATGGGGTTTCAATCTTGCTAAGGCTAGTCTTGAACTTGTGAGCTCAGGCATTCCACCCTGCTTGGCTTCCCACAGTCCTGGGATTACTGGCTGTGAGCCACAACGCCTGGCCAA